TGCACTCTGGGAGACAAGGGTTTTGGGAGGCAAAGTGTGTGATGGGGTGGGGGAGTGCCATGTGACCCATGGAAAGAGTCATGCTGTGGGGGTCACATAGTGTGATGAAACTTCAAGGAACACTCCCAGAGCTGGTGGACAAGCGGTGACTGGAAAATCAGGCAAGAACTCTCCAGAGGGATCTGAGGCCACACACAGCAACTATAAGCTGCTGCGGCTTTGCTGGGGTGGGGGGCAAGGAGGCCATGGGTGGGTGGGTCACAGGGACAGCACTCCCCTCCAGGGATGGGACTGTCCCAGCAACTGCCCAGGTGATTGCCACAAGGCAGTCATCAGACACAGCTGAAACACCAAGCCTGATTCTGACAGGGCCCAGGGTATGTACCTTATTCATGGAGGTCTGGCTGCAGACACGATGTGGCTCACGAAAATGGGCCACATGGCAGTCTCCCCGCCCTAAAAGGCGGTCTCCTAGCAGCTCTGGGCTTTGTAACATGGTTTTAAGTTCAAAGCAGAAACTCTGTGATTACCACCAGTTCACAGCCTTAGCAAGTTGTGAATCATAGTAAGTTTCCAACAACAGCCATCCCCATGCATGGGAATCGCCAGGGAGTCACATAAGCCTGGAATCTGGCTGGGGTGGAGTTGCAAACAAATCTCAGGGCTGTGAGAATGTCTAATGGAGGAGACAGGGCTGAGCCTGCTGCCTTCATGTGTACAAGTGCACATGCATCCTACCTGCACACACACTGCACACACACCGTCACCCTCCCAGCATACCTGCATCTACTTTCAGGCCATGTCCAGGCAGACAGCTGACGTGAGGCTGCAGATATGCTGGGGGTAGGGTAAGGACAGCCACCAGGGCCCTGGGATGGGCCTCTTGCTCCTCCAGAATTTGCTCATCTGCCCACATCAAGATGACCTATGTCCCCCAGGGGTGGCCTGGTGGCTCTGAGAACTCTGCCCAGTGCTGGATGATGAGGTCACTGGGCTGACTGGGGGTGGCCATGGGGTGTGGTCTACTGCAGACATCTACTCTCCTGTACCCACGACCACACCCTTTGTGCCACAGGCTGGCCCTGGGGTGGGGAGGACCACAGGCCATAGCCTGCCTCACTGCAGCCTCCCGTGGATCTGTGTAGGTGTGCTGGGAGGGTGGTGGGTGTGTGTGCATGTGTGAAGTGGGTGGGTGGGGTGCCCAGGGTTCTCAAGGAGCTCTTTGCATGGAGGCCTAGACACAGTGAGGATGAGCCAGGTGAAACAGGCACTGTAGGAAAGAGGAGGAAGTTGGTGACTAGCGCCATGCAGCCAGCCAGGGATCCAAGCTGGGGAGGGGCAGAAGGGATGGTAGCCGTGCTGGAAGATGAAAGCCACAGGGGTGAGTGGCACTCACTGGGCTGCAGGAGGAAGGTGGAGCAGGTCTGGAGGTGGTTGGTAGCTACATCCAGGCTGGGAGGAACAGGGCCCAGCCAGAGAGCTGGCACATGGACACCTGGGCACAGAATGTTGACTGTGGTTCACCAGGAGGCTAAGGCCAGCCGTGTGTCCTCTAACCCTGGGGGGATATAAGACCCAAGGGGCAAAGGCTGTGGATGAGGCCTGGAGCAGGAGCAGTGGATAGGCCAGAGCTGGGCAGAGGGTTTCCAGAGGGCAGGAGTCCCTGAGCCCACCGAGGCAGCCTGGGGGGGCGGCAGGACCACTGTGTGAAGATATCATCTTGCAGTCCCCAAAGAGCTTTGAGGAATGTTTATTGCCACACTTAGGGGGCTCTCATGGGTCCAGGAGGTGGATGACAGCTGTGCTCCTGCCTGCAGGAGGCCAAGGGGCTGTGGCCTTCTCACGGGAAGGGTAGGTGGGGCCAGACAAGGGCCCTGAAGCTGCCCCTTTGCCAGGGCCACCATGGCGGCCCTGGTTTTGCCTGAGACCCAACCATGATCTCCCCAAGCATCAGGTCCTGGATATCTCTGGGTGGGCACCAGCCTTGGGCTGAAGACAGAAGACAGAGCTGAGGGCTGGGTCCAGCTCCTGGCACAGCAGGAGTGCCTCAGTTTCCCACAGCTTGGGGACATGAAGACAAGCAAGGGCTGGCATCTCCAGGGAGCTGCTCTGAGCCTCAGTGTGTTCCTCATGGACCTGTCCCTCCATGACACCCTGCAGGAGCCCACAGCAGCCTGTCCCCCACCCCATGGGACCCCTCAGGATCTTGTCCTCTCCCTCAGGTCCCTTTCTGAGATTCCTTCTGCATGGAGGTTGGAAGTGGTCAGTGGCCATCACTGTGCAGGAGCATGAGGTTAGGACGTGTTGGTCAGTTCTCCCAGAAAAGACTTCAACAGTGGATAAGGCCAGTTGCAAGCTCCCAGTGGCTGAGCCTTGCCTGGCTCCAGCCCGGGGTCTCTGTCTCCTGTTCTTGGGCCCCATGTGTGTGGTGTCCCTATCACAGCGTGGCTGGCCTCACTCATTGCCATCCACAGGCAGGGAAGCAGAGTCTCCCTCAGAGCCACTAGGGCCTGGGCAGAGGTGGGGGGCGGCTCACAGGGCTTTGGGCCACCTGGGGCACTGGCAGTGAGACCCGTGGTGCTTCGGGGCCCACTAGCTCCGGTCTCAGTCCAGCTTGGGAGTGTGGTCCTGTGTGACACTGTGTGCAGATCAAGGGGATGCAGGGTGAATGGCCACTCAGCCTGGCCCTATAGGACTTGTGGCCCATGAAGCCTAACAGCTGGGCTGGTCCTTCTGTGCCAGCCCTCAGCCATCTCACAGTGTGCTACCTAGCTGCTCTTTGTCTCAGTTTCCCTGTCTGTGAAATCGGTACCATTGCAGTGCCTGGCTCAAAAGGCTGGTGTGAGGACAGACAGGGTGCATGTGGGGCCCTGGGCATGGGTGGAGCACAGGTGAGTACTGGCCACATGCTTGGTGCATGCTGTCCTGGCTCAGTTAGGACAGGCTGCTCCCACCCATGCTCTTCTTGCTCTCCCTACTTCCCTGCTGGGTTCCTGGCCTGCCCTCCACCTGTCCTCAAAGGCCTTACTCTGGTCACTGCCTGTGTACAGGACATCTGCCCAGGGGCTGTTGCTGCAGTTTAGGAGCCCAGACCTGGTCACTGTGTGGGTGGCTGTGGCTCACAGCGGGGCAGTCACTACAGAAGAGAAGCTGTGTACATGCAAGTCCTTGGCCAGAACCTAAGGGGAGGCCTGGACGACCCTCGGCTCACAGGCCAAGGAAGTGCACATCAGAGCCCAGCTTGGGGAAGGAAGAGCCTGGTCTCCATCAGGGTCACCAGGGCCCTGGATCTCCCCAAGTTCTGGCTGCCATCCTTAACAGACACCACAGTCTTCTGGAGTCTGCAGCTTCCATGGGGTCCCCACCCACAGTCTCTTCCCTGAGCTGTCAACAGAGGGAGCCCTCACCCGAGAGATCCTGCTCACCCCGTGCTCTAGAATAGGCCTCTCTGGTCCACTGGGATTTCGAGAGGGGAGTCTGAGGGATCCTAGAAAGCCCTCTACACTTTCAGGCACATGAGCCTCAGTGGGCCCTGGAGGACCCCCCCACTCCCTGCCAGCTGGCTTTGTGCTTGGTCCCACTGCCCAGCCAGTGACCTCCAGGTGCCAGGTATGGCCCACACTTGCCCTCCCTGCTGGACACAGCCCAGTACATGCAGACCCGGTCCACACGGAGCAGGGGTGGCAGGGGGAGCCCTTGGGCCCCATCTTCTCCTAGCTGGGCTTCTGCTGAGGCCTCGCCGCTCTGACCACTATCCAGACTATCTGTGACTTTGCCATGATCATCTTTATTTAAAGCCATGGAAACCCAGGCATAAGAGGGTGTCACTAATGCCAGCCCTTCCAAAGTCACAGGCTGACATCAGGGTACAGCAGGATCCCTGGGGTGTGTTTGAACTGTGTGGGTGTTAGCTGGGCTGGGTTGATGCCCAGCCTGGTGCTCATGCCTCCTTCCCCATCCCCTCTGCTGCCCTCAGACCTCGGTCCTGCCTCCTGGTGCCTATGGACCTTACTCTGTCGTGGCTGCAGACTGCTATGTACCTCAAAGAAAGTCACCTTGGCCACAAATGCACAGCTAAGGAATGCCCACTGCAGCCAGGACAGGAGATGAGGGTCAGACAGGTGCTGGTTCCTCCTGGCAACAAACTGTGTGTTTGGGACATGCTGATTTGGGAGGCCACCTCTGCTCTGCTCTTACTTGTGGACCCATCCTTATGGAGCTGAGGCCCTGGGCGTGGGTAGGTACTTGGTGCATGGGGTATGTTAGGCATCTCCTTGCTCTCTGACAGCCTCGACTTCCTAAGGGTCTCATCTGCTGCCCAGGCCCACGACATTGCTTCCCTCCTTGAGGTGGTCCCAGTACCCACCTGTTGGTGTCATCAGAGACACCTGGGACCTGTGCCCCTCTCTGAATACATGCGGCCCCCATTCATTGCCACTGAGCCCCAGGTACCCTGTGGGAGAGGCTGGGGTGGGAGCCAGGCCTGAGCTGGTCTTTCCTGTTGCTTGGTAGCTGCCTCATTTCAAAAATGAGATTATTTTATTATCTCAAAACTCAGGTTCATTCTGGTTCCACAGGAGAACCTGGGTCTTGCCCAGGTTGTTGACCCAGGTGCATTTTGGTGACAGACACAGGACTTCTTCTGGATAGTAGGAACTAACTAGGCAATGGTGGTGCCAAGATTCCCCTGGTGGTCGCTAATCCACCACCCAGGGCTCCCTGTTTAAACCAGATATTCCCCTTTTAGATTCAGAACACATTTCCCACTTCCTTTAGGTGTGGTGTTACTGAGGGGGTAAAGTGCTTCTTGTGGCCATTCCCCAGCGTAGCAGCCAGGGACAGCCACAGGAGCACTGGGAACGATGGTCCCTCTCAGGTGGCTTCTTGCCCACCCTCTGGGCAGCCCTCCCCCAGCCCCCAACCTGCCCTGCAGATCTGCAGCAATGCCTGCCCCAAACCTGGTCCTCACAGTCTGAGCAAAGCAAGCTGGGCACGGTTGATAAGGGAGCAGTAATTTATTTTTTAAAAAGGAGAAAAAAATCTTTGCAAGGTGGTGATCTGAACTGTGGTGAAAACTGCACATTCTGATGGCAAGAGTCCATGTTTTGAGAAGGCTAATGACAGTCATTCTCTCTGGGGAATAAAACGATGCTCCTGCCACCTTGGACTGGGTCAACCCTGTGTTATTCCCACTGGCAGCAGAAAGGCAGTTAGAAGCGCCCTCGCACTCGGTCCTTGTTCCTGAATAACACTCATCGATGTCTCTCCAGAGGTGGGTTCTGAGGGTTTAGATGAGCTACTTCGGCTCTATGCCCCCTCTACGCCCAGACCGCCTGCCACTCACCCATGCAGCATTGGCCACATCTGATGTCGAGGATGGGCATCCAAATGCTCATGACTCGGAGAATAAAACCTGCCTTAGATGTCACCTTGGACATTGCTTCTTTCAAGCTCGCCCAGGTCATTACGAATTTTACAAAAGGCAGCACCAGATGTGTGAAAATAGAGGATGTCTGACCCATGAGAAACGGACACAGTCTAACGCTGCACATTAGAAAACAGCATAAGAAAGAGGCAGCATGGAGGACAGCGGTGAAGCAGGGGTGATGCTTACAGCTGGGCAGGATGCAGCCCTGGGGTGGCTGGCTAGACAGGAGCGCCCTTGTGGCCAGGTGACAGGTGGCTGAGGTATAGACAGGTGACGCCAGGGCGGCTGAGAAGGACCCTCCTGAAGCTCTGCCCCACACAGCTGGACCTGCCGCCTCCTGTGGCTCCCAGTGTACCTGCCACAGTAATGGTGATGCTGCCAGGTCCTCCACAGCCTCTCCCTTCAGGTCATTTCAGGGCTTGGACATCACGGGGAAGGTGCAAGTGCACACCCCAGTCCTCTTCTCCACCCATGCCTGCCAGGTGCCTGGCTGCCTCAGAAGCTCTCCACGAAGCTGCCCGGAAAGAGCCCTGTGCGTCCGTTTCGCTGCAGGGTCCCCTCGTACCAGCCGTCCTTGCGCTTGCGGTGCACGAAGACCACGTCGCCCTCCTTCAGTTCGATCTCTGCCTCGCTCTGGGGCGGGTAGGAGACCACCACGCGGTACCTGAGGACAGAGCATAGCATGAGCCCTAGGCCTTCCTCTTCCGCCCTCGGGCAAATCCCATGTCTAGGCTATTTTCCTTACTTCATACAATTCCTATTCATCTCTTCTTTCACTTTTTAATTAACACATTAGAAAGAAACTTCCCTGTGGTGTCCTTTCAAGCCCAGATGGCAGGTGTGGCTGTGACATGGCCTCACAGCGTCCCCTGACCTCACCCCCCCCATTGCAGACTGCACCTGGGCACCCTCATGTCCTCAGGTCATCAACCTGGCTGTGGACCTTGGGCTTGTGTTGGCACTTGTCAGGGTGCCAGCATCTCTGAACACCAAGCCCTCACCTGTGCAGGCACCTGCAGGCGGGGGGCCTTGGGCATGGCGAGGGAGAGGGAGAGGCTCTTTGGAGACAGGTTTGGTTGGCCAGGCGCTGCTTCTACACATGTCCAAAGCCACAGCAATGTGCCTTCTCAGCTCCACTGACTGAGGGCACAGCACCAACACCCAAAGGCCTGACTTTCCTTCCTCTTGTTTCCCCGAGACCTGGGCCCCTGCAGCCTCCAAAGTCACTTTAGACTGTTTTTTTCAGACCAATGGGACATAAAATGGAAACTGAGACAATGGCCTTCACAGTATGGCCTCTGCCAGTTAGGACCCAAAGAGTGGCTGTGGGTGGGAGCTCAGACCCTGGCAGCCGGAGTCCCCTCTGGGTGCAGTAGGCGCCCCTAGATGGCAAACTGAGGTCCAGCCCTCTTGTCAGCACCTGCCGAGGACCCGAGGCTCAGGGTCTATACCTGGCAGGCCAGACAAGCACTCAGCTGCAGCCCTGACAATATGGTCCTCCCACCAGGCCTGTGGGATGTCTGGTTCTCTGCTGGCCTCACCTGGGCCCAAGAGACAGGAGCTCCTGGCAGCCCCAGGTAGAATCCCTGTCCCTGTGCCTACTGGGCAACCTGAGTGCCCAAGAGAGGTTGCTGTGTCCCAGCTGTGCCAGGCAGGGCCCTTCCACACTCTGTGGGGGGCCAAGCCTAGAACCATTCCAGTGAGCAGCCTGGAAGACATCAGGACCAGAGCCCATTCTTCTGATCCCTACTCTTCCTGGAAAATGCCATCACTAGGGCAGGAGCTGGGTTCAGTTTATGCTGGACTCTGCCCTACTGCAATTTCTGTCTAGGTGTTCAGAAGCTCTGGCCTTAGGGAAAACAGGATGTTACAAAACATCAACAGACCCTAGGTCAGCCCCTCTCATGTGGTCCATGGCCGTCAGCAGTCTTGGAACAGACCTCTGGATCTAGTGAAAGAATCTGAAGGAATGGGCTGAGACTGGAATCTGACAACTTTTAGGAGCGAACGTTTGCGGTGGATGCTTGAGAACACAGGTGCTAAATTCGTGCCCTCGGGTGGAGGACTTCATCCCTCAGGGACCCAACTGCTCCTGGGCATGGTGGCATTGCCTGCTAGTCCAGCTTGACCTGAGAAGCTGCAGCCTTGGAGCAGTTGGGGTGGAAGAAGCAGACAGAGAAGAACCAGGAACCTCAGAGCCAGGTTGAAGTCCATGCCTCAGCAGTGGGGAGGTGGGTGTGAGTCCCATCCATAGGTGGCAGGGCTGGCCAGGCCTGGGCTCAGCAAAGAGGATCAACCACCTCCAAGGCCTTGAGATGGCTGCAGGTGCTGGCCCAGTTCCCACTGCCATCCATGGCAGCAAGCATAGCACAGAGGAGAGGAAACAGGTGGCCAGGCCCCTTTCAGCCAGCGATCTGTGAAGTCACTCAGCCTGACACAGGCCACACTGTCCCCACCATGTCCCACCAAGTGGCTTCCCACATCCTGACCTCCTTCTCCCTCCTAGGGAAAAGCAGCAAATGGCGGGTGCTTCTCAGACGCTTAATGCCAGCTTTGACTTTTGCCTCAATTGCCAGATGTGAAACAGACAAGCAGCTTTAAAAATGTAATTTGTTAGAAAGAAGTAATTTGGTGCTTCTGAGCAATTCAATGATTGAGGAGCCCAGATGGATGTGCAGTGAATTCCTATAAGATGGCATTTACCGCTTCTGTCCAGATGGCTCCAAGACTGAACTCTTCCCTCACTGTAGGAAAGAAACTGGGGCTCCCTGTCCTGGACACACAGGGCTTCACAAGCCTTGAAGGACGACCACCATTCCCAAGTCATGATCACTGGGCTTCGTAAATCAGAGTACACACAGGCCATGTGAGCCACAGCAGATTCCCAGGTCAGGGTCCAAGCAGACTCTGGTGCCCTCATTGCTTCTAGCCCGCCTCGGGTGTGGGGTGTCTGGCCTACTCCGCGTCATCTGCCCCCACAGCAGGGCTCCAAGATGGCCTCCACATGGCAGCCTTTCCCAAGCATTTGCTCAAACAAGGTTGAAGAAAGTAGGCCACTGAGATGGTGTCATGTCAGCAACTTAGAAATGACAAGACTGCACCTGTGCCCTGAACATGAGACCAAGGCATTGAGCACATGCCGTGTTCCTGAGCTTGCGATGGAACATTTTGGGGCCACTGTGCCAAAATGAACCTACAGGAAATGAAAATATGTTGACTCCCCTCCCTGCAGAATAACATGGTTCAGCCCAGCCTGCCTTCCACGTGCCCCGACATTCAGACAAGGCCATCTCATACAAAGCCTGTTTTACGATTGATTGAAAACTGCACTGAGAGTGAAAACATCACCATGGTAAAGTCAAACTTGTAAGTAGACCACTGTATGCCAGGCACTGACAGTATCCATGGCTTGCTACTTCTGTAACAAGTGGCCACAGGCTGAGCATCCTTGTGCCATACAAGGTCCTACTCTCACAGTTCTAAAGGCAGAAACCCAGCAAGGTCTTGCTGGGACAAAAGCAAGGTGTCTTCAATGCTGGTGCCTTCCAGGGTTCTACGAAATCTGTTCCCTTGCCATCTGCATCCCTCCTCCTCCACCTTCAGAGACCAGGGGTCAAGTCCTCACATGGCAGGGCTTTGATTGTCTCTGCTGCTGTCTCCTTCCACCCTCCAGGATCCTGTGACCACACTGGCCAGCTGGATAAGGTGTGATGTCCCCCTTCCTTCCCATCAGCCATTGGCTGGCTGCCTTGACTCCCCTCTGTCACGTGAGGTGATATATTCACGGCTTTGGGTGATTAGGGCAAGGAAATCCTGGGGAGTCATTATTCTGCCAAACCTAACATGTCCTTGACCTAAGCAAAAAGGCTTTACACTCTAACAAAGCCAAGCAATGCCTGGCCACCAAGCACCGAGCAGGAGCAGTGTGGGCTATGAGCTTGTAGGGAGCAAGCCTGGGCCAGCGGGCTCAGATGGGGCCCTGTTGCCACCTTGCTGTCACGATTGCATGTTGTCGTGATGTAGGCCAAATCATAATTTATTATGCACACATGATTTCCAGGCATTGGCCTAGGTGCTTCACAAACATAAACGTCAGGCAGATGTCATCACCCTCTGGCAAAGCCCAAGGAACTAGGCTTGGGAAATGAGGAAGCTGAGTTTCGGCTCACGTGAAATGCTCAACAGATGGCAGGCTGTCTATCTGCTTGAAGCTTCCTGCAACTCTGTGAGGAGTGGGTCCCTAAGGGCTCAGCCTGTCTGGCCAGCACACCTCATCTAGACCCAGCATTGCCCTCCCAAGGGGGAGAGGACAGGAGAGTCTTCTCTACCCCATGCCCTGAAAACTTCACATGCCACAACTACTCCTCCTCTATGAGATCCTCAAGCAATTTCCAGGATTTGGCTGCCTGGCATCATCCACAGGGAAAGGAAAGTCCCCTTGGAGGGGGCTGGTAATGGGCCGTCTGGTCTACACAGCAGGCTGTGGCTTGGCTCAGACAAGCCTGCTTTGCCAGACAGCCCCACTCAGGGCCAGCAGATGGGGCAGGGCCACCCAGCCTGTAGGCCAGGCCAGGCCAGGCCAGCAGATGGCGCTGGCCCTTGCGCTACTGGGCAGAGGGGAAGTGCCGGAAGGAGAGAAGGGAGAGAGAGAGGGAGACAGAATATGATATATATCTGAGTACATGGCATGGGTGCCTGTGTTATGTGTGCTAATACGAAGGGTGTGAGTTGTATAGCACCACGTGTGCACTGCATGGTGTATATAGTGCATGTATTTTGTGGTATGTATAGTGTATGGTGTGCAAGTGTGTGTGCTGTGCATAGTGTATGTGCTGTGTGGTGTGTGTGAGGTATAGTGTGTATAGTGTGTGTCCTGTGTGGTATGTGTGTGTATATGATGTGATAGGTGTGGTGCATGGTGTGTATAGTGTGTGTGCTGTGTGATGTGTGTGTGGTGTATGGTGTGTGTGTGCTGTGTAGTGTGCCTGCTGTGGTGTTCGGTATGTAGAGAGTGTGTGGTCTATGATATGTATAGTGTGGTATATGACGTGGTGTATAGTGTATGTACAGTGTGTATGGTGTATGTAGTGCAAAGTGTGGTGTATAGCATGGTGCGTGTGAGGTGTATGGTGTGTTTAGTGTAGGGTGTGTTTGTGGTGAATGGTGTATGCATAGCGTGTGGTTTATGGTGTGTATGTATGGTGTATGTTGTGTGTACAGTGTGGTGTATGGTGTATGTACAGTGTATAGTGTATGGTATGTGTACGGTATGGTGTATGGTGTATTTATAGTGTGTGGTTATGGTGTATGTCTACTGTGTTGTGTATAGTGTGTGTGGTATATGGTGTGTGCACAGTGTGTCTTCAATATTCACTGCCATCTGTGCGCCCACCTGAGTGGAATGTGCCCAGTGCTGCTCACTGTGGGAGCCTGGTCTTGGGGTTGCAGTCATCATATGGTCAGGGCATCTCCTCAGCCCGTCCTTCATGCTCTGCTGTGACAGAGCCCAATAGCCAAGCAGAGCACCATCCCCTGCCACCCTGGAAGGTTGGCCATCTCATCTCTGCTACGCTGCCATCTTCATGGGAGACTTTAGGACAGATATTGAAACAGGTACAGCCATCCAGCCAGACGAGAGCCTTTGACCTCTATAAGACTCAGGTACCTGCAGCCATGCAGGCCATGTCAACCTGCCTCAGTTTCTAGATCTGTAAAGCTCAGGCTGCATGATGTGAAACTGCTGACATGGGTAAAAACATGGACGAGTACTGGCAATTTTGATGGTTCATCCTAATGGGCTATATGCCCTCCAATCCAATTTTGAGGAGATGTCTTTTAATTCTAAGATGTCACAGAAGGCTGAGGTTCTGTCCCTGGTAGGAGACACATCCCCATACTACCTGATTTCTCGATGTTTGTGCTCAGTCCCACACTGGGCCTGACAAATTTCCTGAGGAGTCCCTTGCAATCCCAAATGCAGGAATGAAATGGGCTGGGAACTCGACATCAGCTCCAGGTCCCGGACTTCCCGAAGCCCGAGTCCACCCTCCTCGGAGCCAAGTGGCTGGGTGATAAGGGTTGCCTGGTGGACTAACCCCTGTACTCAGATGGGCTCCAGACTTGGGTGCCTGGCACCTGGCACAAAGAATACAGCCCTCACACCCTTACCTCTCCCTGGGCAGCGGCTTGGGCTCGGGGCGGATGGCAGCTGTGGAGAGAGCTGCTTGCCGGGCAGGGGAGGAGCAGAAGTTCAGATCCAAGGAGCCCGTCTTCCTGTGCAGGGGCTCCAGCCCCATGGCTCCCCGCATCTCGCTCTCAATGGGGCAGGAGCCTGCCCTGCCGTGGACAGACAGGGAGGACATGTCAGGGCCCGTGGCGCCTAGCAGCGAAGTGTCTGTGGCCACCAGAGGGTCGTGGGTTGGGGAGAAGGATGGCGGGGAACGTGACTTCCTCCTGGTTGATGCCCCAGCCAGCAGCTTCAGCAGCCCGCTCTTCTTCTCTTTCTGTGGGGACACAAAGGGTGGCACCAAGCCATTAGTGCTCCTCATGAAGAACTTTGAAGATGACCTTGCAGAGCTGGTGAGGAGACAGGTGAAATGACAGCCTCATTTTCTCTCCTTTCTCCAAGTCCCACACAGACTCCAAGGCCCTGGGCAGGCCGATTAGGCCAGCCCCCAGGAGGATGCTCAGCTGCTATCTTCTCTGCTTTCACAGAGCCCGGGTTCAGCCATAATACTATGCATCTTGGCGGAGTATCCCACACAGCCCGCAGCAAGGTGGGTCCTGGCTCTCTTGGAGAGCCCAGATGGCTTCATGTCAAGTCCTGCCAATATCAAACAACTTCTAAGGAAACCGCAGGGCTGTGTGGGCCAGGGGCTGGTGCCTCTGTAGGGCGTCCTAACTCCAGCTCCCTCCCCAGTATGCACAACCTCCTGCTTTCTGCTGTGTGAACCCACCTGGGCAGAGGCAACAGAGGCCCTGTGCACTGCCTAGGTCTGGTGTAGGGTGCAGGCCTGGCAGGGGCACTGGTCCCAGCCAAGGGTACCCTTGCTAGTGCCCTCACTCTAGTGTGGATGGAGACCTGCTCCTTGGCACCTCTATACTCTTAGGGAATTTCTCAGGTAAATCCCTCCCCTGCAGGTGGCTGCCCTTGCTCAAAGAGCTGCTCAAGATGCAAGGACCACAGTTCCATGTGTACGGAAGAGGACCTGAAGGGCCTCACTCACAGCCACAAAGCCTTGGCATGTGCCCCTCAGGAGTCCCAGGGCCTTATAGCCTGTCCTAGGGACACCGGACCTCTCTCCCACTGCTGCTGCTCCCCCAGTCTTGGGGGTGATCCTCCTACCCTGCAGTGACCATTAGTGACATCCTGGCTCTAGGCTCTGAAGACTCTGTGGTTAGAGCAGGCTCTGGGCAGATGTCTGAGGGCCAGGCTGGTGCTGAGCTGGCCCAGAGGAGGAAAGGCAAGTTGGCTGGGCAGCCACACACCTCTCTGTGTGCCACTCAGGTCTGTGCTGAGTCCAAGAGTGTCATGGTATGTGAACGGGTCCTGTCCTCAGCAGGTCCCATGGTGACACTATCAACACTGGAGATTGTGTGAGGGTAAAGCACTATAGCATCTGCTGGAGGCTGGGTGCTGTGTGCATGTAGGTAAGCACATACATGTGCATGCAAGTATGTGTGTGCACATATGTATGCATGTGGGTGTGAGCACATGTAACCTGGAGCAACATCATGTGCACCACACAGGTGCTCCAATAACGTGGTTGTCCCGAATTTGGAAATCTCCCTGTCTCACGGGGTTTAGGTTCTGATGTTCAGTGGGAATTCTATGGTGATTCATGGAAGAGGGCAGAAGTCTGAAACAGCCATGGGACCGATGACGGCCACTCCAGAGTTTGCTTGGACCATAGGCCCACTGGATGGGCAGCCGCCTCTCCTACCTCCCTCACCAGACTCGCTCCGCCCAGCTGAGTCCTGGTACCCAGGAACCTTGGTTCGCAGAGAACCAAGCCCTTTGCTTAGGCCGATGGCTGAGGCAGCTACAACCCCAGGAGGGAGGCCAAAACCTCATTAGCTTGGAGATGAAAGGACTGAATGGATATTTTTACTGCCAGACACAGTTACTTTCCTGAGCTGAGACCCAGGAGTGGTCATGGCTGGAGGTTCAGGCCTGCATCAACCCTCAGTGACCAGGAGCACAGATGTGGCCCCCTGGGAAGGGGCAGCTGTGTTTCAGTGTTGCTATCCACTAAAAACATACATTCCCTTCATGCTTTTGTGCCATTGTCTTATTAACTAAACATGTGTTTCTTTTCCATTTAAGAGAGTAAACAAGCAGAAGACATTGCAAGCTGTTTTGAAGGTGATGGTAAAAGGCAGCCCGGGGCAGGCCTGGACTCCGTAGGAGGGACAGCTGAGGCCAGTGGGTGACACGGACTGTCCAGGGGAGGGTTGAGAGGTGTGGAAGGAACAGAAGTAGAAAAAAGCAGGTGTGGATGGTTGGATGAGGCACCCCTGACAGGAGCATGTGTGGACAGTGTGCTTCAGGGCCTGGAAGGCCGGCTGAGGGAACAGAAGGAAAGGACACGAGGACATAATGTGGCCCATGGCAATGCTTACAGCTGGGTCAGCTGAGCAGGGATGATGGGGCTGCGGGTGGGACTGGGCATAGGAGGAAGGATGAGGAAGGTGGCTTGGGGACAGCAGTCAGGACAAGGGACAGCGTGTGCTGCTCTGTGCCTGTGTGGCTTCCAGTCTTTACTGAGCCAGACACCAGAGCTCACTCTCCAGCCATCAGTTGAATAACATCAATGTTTTGGCCAACCCAGCAGCATGCTAAGGACACAGCATGAGTTTAGAAAGAGGGTCAGATAACTCTCAGAGGCTATCTCCAGCCACAGGCCACCAGTCTGGGAAGGAAGTGTAGATCATCTCCAGCACCTGCGGGAGTGGCCCAGGCACTGTCAGGAGCCCCTGAGGCCTGATGCACAGGAGACTGAACGAGCAATGCTCTGAGAAACACAGGACACAAGGGCTCAAGGGTGACACAAGGCCTTCTTTTGCCCTCTGGCTCAAGGCAGCAAGTTACACTTGGAAGCCTTTTGATTATTATTTTATGTTTGGAAACCTTCCTGTTGGAGATGGGAAAGGGTAATTAAAAGCTATGCACTGATAAAATTTTAATGGAGAAAGGGCACATTTCTCGTTCTACTTGAAAATAGATTTGGGAAGAGCAGAGGTTTAGAACAATATAAATATGCAAAGCATTTTCAGAAGAGCAGAGGAGAGATCTATAATGGATAAAGAGGAAGAAGTTAACAAGCTAATTAAAAGAGACAGAAAATTGTGCTCAGAGCTGCTGAGTATTTCAAATATTAAAACATTTTAAAAAATGCTGCCCTTGAAAGAGACAGAATGTAACAAAGGACTGGCTAGGAAACTGGGGAACAAGAGGCTATGGAGACCAGTGCCAGTCTGACTGTGAGCTTCTCTTACTTCTCTGGGCATGAGCAGGTTGCAGTCTGACTGTGTGCTCTCCCCTGATATTCTTCATGCTTGTGGCATGAATGGGGACTGTTCCACAGAACACTGCATGTACCATTACAGTCTCCACACAGCATTGTCATTGCACTTCACAGCCAAAGCATGTGGTGAGGAGCCCACGCTCACAGAATCTGTGGTCTTATCACCCACCCCGTTTCTTAAAACAGAGGCCAAGAGATGGGGGCCTGGCACTCTAAGGACAGCTGCAGTGCCAACCAGGTGATGGTACCTGCAGGGAGGGAAAGGCTCGAACAGGATTTCAAGTGCTCAGCTCTGACACAGAGTCTGTGTTGCTGTTTCCCCAGTCCAGAAATCAGGGTGGAAATGGAGGGCACCACTCACCACAACTGTGACACAGGCAGAGCTTGGCATCCTGAGTCACCACCCACCTCCTAGGAGTCACTGCATACCAGTTATTAGTCTCTCCACCCAAGAGTTACTGGTTACTAGTCATTGCCCACCTCCGAGAAGTTACTAGTTACTAGTCATTACCCCAACCCCGCTTCAGAGGAGTTACTCCGTACTGGTTATTGCTCCTCCCTCAAGGAGTTACTGGTTACTGGCTATTCCCTCACATCTGATGAATTACTGGTTACTAGTTACTCCCCATGGAGTAACAAAACCCTCACAGATGTATGTGTGACTCCATTTCTAGGGTTTTTTACTATTTAAAAGATGAATTTGGTTCAATGCTTTCCAGTTGAAGCTGCACTTCTAATGAAGACAGTTTTCTTCAGTTCCTTTGTTCCATTGGCAGGATAAACCCAAGACCTTAAAGTCCTTTTCTACCTGTGTTCCCAGGTCAACAGGGGAACAAGGACCCAGGGGTGGCTCCTGCTGTTGTTGGGAGATGAATAAACACATCACAAGCAGCTGCTCCAGCAGGTTAGCATTCGTTTTTGAGTAGCCTGACAAAACTCTCAGTTTTGTGAGGATAAGCACTTTATTTCCTAAAATTGCAAACTCAAATCCCTTTCGATCTTTTATAGAAGCCTCAGGGCTAGAAGTTCTACTCTCTGTCTGCCTCATAATTTGTATGGGATCCTTAGTCAACTATCAAATTCTGACTAAATTTCTAATATTTTGTCCTGAACACGACTTTATGCATTGATGAGATTAACTAATTCACTCCTCCCAGCAGCTGACACATGGGAAGGGCCTGTAGGAAGCATCTCTGTGTTACTTACACCTAGTTTCTGGAAAACTCGAGTCATACACATCTTGTAACTTGAAGCACATGCATCTACAGTGAAAGGCACATGTTACACAGGATGGTGATTTTTTTTTTTTTTTGCATTTTTAACAAAACCCCAGGCATGTTATGGAAATGGAAACTCTTCTGTCTCCAGATATCACCAGATACCTTCCTCAGGGGCTGTGGGCCAGGGCCTCTGAGACTCAGAGAGTTTTCTATCCCAGTACAGCACACATCACCCCAGTGTCCCGAGATGGCTGTGTGCCCACATGCTGACCCATCCTAGCCCAGTGCTTTCCCTCGATCCCACCCAACAAACGTAGGAATGTGGGGCTGAGTCCAGGAGATGAGTCATCTGGAAGCTGGAGGTTAGAGGAAGTTTCGTAGAGATCAGAGGAAAGGGCACCTGCTCCCCATGAGCATCAGCACCCAGGAGAGCTTGAGGTGACTGCCAGGCATCCATGGCCAGCTGGCACACAGCAGGGCTGGGTGCCAGTAAAAAGAGAGATAAGAGATTCCCATCAGAGGGGCACGCCTGCCAGGATCCTCCTACCAGCCATGACTCCTACTTCCTGCCAGGCGCCAGGCAGAACAGAGGGCTGCAGGGCTGCAAGGAGCCTTCCAGAAGGACCTCGAGTCCCCTCCCACCCAGGGCCTCTCTCCTTTGGGCCACAGCAGTCTCTGCTCAGACTGTTGTCAGCTGAAGGTCTTCCCACCAATCCCCCTGCTATCAGCACCTTCCCGAGGACTCTGCTCCCACATGCATGCCTGTCTACTGCTATCCACTGATTCCCTATGCCCAACCCGGGCAGACTCTGCTTCCCTCCAGGCCAGGGTGGGCCATGCAAGGGAGCAAGGCGGGCACCTGGCTTTGGGGTGGAAGGCACAGCAGCCTCCCTTTCCAGGACGATCCCTGGTGGATGGTTCATCTGTGTCATGCAGTGCTGATGTGTCCATCACCAGTGGTACAAAATGGGTGGCACGTCATGGCTGTTTCAAGTATAATGTTCATTTTTTAAGTGCAAAAGGGTAACTTCCATCCTACACACCCACCCTCTCTTCTCAAGTCACACCAGATCTGGTTTCTCCTTGTGATTTGTGGAATTGTAAAGATCTTTCTGAAAACAGTGTCCAGACCCTCTTCAAAGGCACAGATCCAAGTTCTTCCATGGGGAGATACTCAGGAGCTGACCTGCTGCAGCATCTGCAGACCACGGCTACCCCTGGGGTCTCCTCTTCCACTCAGCAGCACTGAGGTAGATTTGCCCCAAGTGGAACGACCTCCAGTCAACCCAGGCAATCTGGGTGATGGAGGGTCCACTGTGATGCAAGTTCTGAGTGAATTGTGGGTCAGTACTAGCCCAAACCCAGCTCATGCTCAGTCTACCCTCCACCTGGCAGAGGTACCACCCAGGCATAGTCTCCAGGGGGCTGGCAGTGCCATGCTGGCCAGTGTGTTGCATCTGTGCTAACAGGCAGACAGCACTGTTGGCATGGCAGCAGAGGAACAGGGTGGAGGAGCATCATTGAGCCAGGCTGGAGAGCATCCTGACCGCTGGGATGCCAGGGCTCGAAGGAGCTCTGCTCAGGGCTGGAACTACAGAGCAGAGTGCAAACATGTTAGCACTCAAGAGAGGGGCCGAGGTCAAAACCAAGGGAGCAGGTCAGAAGATCCATGTCCCATGGGGATAAGAGAAGAGGACCAGCCTCCAGCATGGCCTCCGTGGACCTCTGTCACCATAGGCACCACCCAAGTGAGACCTGGGCCTCTTCTTCCCAACCAGCAGTGCCAGAGCACCACCCTGCTGTGCTCCTGGGAAAATCACTCCCTTCCCACTAGGTGCCCTGGCACTATCCATCCCAGCTCTCTAGGACATGCTGGAAGGGCCCTGATCCAGCCTGCAGGGCTCAGCACCCGGAAGCCACGTGGCCCAAGGTTCTGCCTCACTGAACAGCAGAGCTGGAGCCCATTGTCTCTTCCTGAAGGAAATTCAGCAAACGAAGCTCCTGGAAACTCTGCCAAGTGCTTCCAATATTGCTTTCTCCATAACCAGGCAGGAACATGTGTGACAGGCTTCCCCAGGAGACATGAAGTGGCTGCTCTGTGCCCAGCATCAGCAGCCCATCCAGCTGTGGTCATGGGTGGGGTGGGGCTTGGGCTTCCTGAGTCGCAGCTTTGCCTGTGCCTGGGCTTCTGAGTGTCCTCTCACTTCCTATGCTGCAGACAGCAACTGGGAATGCGGTGTGCCTTGCTGTGAGTCAGGAAAAGCTCAGCTGGGAGCACAGATGGAAAAACAGGAGCAGGCAATCTTGCAGACTGAGTTATCTTGTTTGTTTGAGTTTGGAAGGGCAGTGCTCCCCCAGGGCTGGCCGAGCCTCCCACCAGTCAGCTCCTGCTTGGACTCACAGGGCCTGCTCTCCATGCTGCCCTGAGTTGTGCTTGGCTTGGAGCTTGTTGGTTCAGGCCAGTGCTGGCCCAGGCATTTCTGCTATGGGGGATGTGGGGGCTGCCAGAGGAAGAAGATGCCCCACTGCATCAGGAGGCCTGTGGGTCCCTGGACTCTGCCCAAGCTGTCAGCAGAGGGACTTTGATTGTGCCTGAAGCCCCACAGTTTGCCTAGCTTTCATTGGCTGTGTTCTTACAGGGCAGCGGTGGGGACTCTGCGCCTCCTGAATGACTCCCACATGCCTGATTCCACACCACAGAACCCACTCGGGGCCAGGTACGTGGAAGATACTGACGTCTTACAACCTGGAATGGAGATCTGGGGGCAAAGAACAAGCTGCACTTGAGTGTGAGCACAGCCCTCTAGGCAAGCCTGACTCACTTTCCTCAGTGGTAAGGGGCCGGAGCCCTCCCCTGCCACCCAACACACCAGCTGTGTCTCAGAACCAGGCCCAAGGATGGGCCAGCTGATTCTCAGGCAGACACAAGCCCAGAGCAGCCATCTCTCCTCAGGCAGCATTAGTGACCTTGACAGAGGCCCCTTCTTACCCGTGAGCCCGGGGAACAACATCATGTGGGACAGGATGGGGCAGCAACTGCTGAGGCCTGGCTCCTGTGAGCACAGCCAGCTGTCCTGGAGGGGACAGAAGCCCAGAGCTAACACTGAGCATGGCAACGCCTGGGAGAGGAGTGCAGCCCTCACCTGACACCGTCTAACTCTAGCTGCTCAGCCAGCGCACCTGATCCGAAGACTGATTCCATACAGGACAGCATCAGAGCCTCGGAACATGGGAAATCAAGGCAGAAGTGTCCCCAGGCAGCTCACATGGGAGGAACCCCAGACAGCTGTGCGGGACATGGTTAGGCATCGAAGGACTGCCCGCTGTGCTCCACTTGGCTAGCAGAGACTTAGTGTGGAAAAGGAAAGGCCAGCAGCTCACTAATAATTTTTATATAGATTGCATGTTTTTTTTGTTTGTTTGTTTTTTGCAGTACCACGGATTGAACTTGGGACCTTGCGCTTGCAAGGCAGGCACTGTGCCACTGAGCTAAATCCCTGGCCCTAGATTGCATGTTAAAGCAAGACTATTTTGGCTATTTAATGGAAGATGCTATTGAAATAAATTTGACCTTTAATTTTAAAATTTTACTTTTAAAAAATGTGGATACTGGAAAATGCTCGTTAAGCCCATGGCCAACATCCTATTTCTATTGGACATGCTGATTTAGAAATGTGGATCTAATCCTGGCTGGCCTGGTGTCCAACTGGCTGGTCAGCTTACTGGACTGTTTCCTTTATGAAATCAGCCCAGCATCCATCACAACTAAAAGAATAGCTGAAAATGCTGTCCGAGCCAATGATTGGGTTGGCACCCTCCTGTCTTCTCATTTCTCCTTAGGAAACAGCCTGTCCCATATGGTTGAACAGGCTGTGCACTATACAAGAACGACACATTCGAGTGAGGGGTGCTGTTCACATGCACACACAGAGATTTTTTATCTCACTGCTATATTCTCCCAGCACATGGCAATAAGGATCTTGTTCTAACAAAATGAGTATATTACACTGATTTTTCCACAGAGGGAACTTACTTTCCACACAGTTTACTGTGTGGAAGAGGGAATACCTTTTTCCAATTTGCTTGAAACCTGTGGCTTCCACATGTTGGCATGCCCACCTCCTCCAGCCAGCTGCCTTCCTGGTCTGGCCTCTGCATGTCTCAGGCCTGGTGCAGCTGAGAGAGGAACCCAATGCCCTCGTGCAAGCCTCCACTGAAAGGCACCACTGGCTTCTGGTGCCAAGGATGCCTGAGATACGTGCTTACCTTTTCACCCCTCTTGTCCTCCAGTCTACACCCAGTGCTGGTGGGGCTGGATGTGGACAGGCCCCCACTAGAGCCCCCGCCGGCATCCCCGCTGAGGCTGGTGGTGCTGACACTGGGAGGTGTGATGGCTGATGCGGCGGAGGTGAAGGGGATGGCTGGCCGGGGACTTGTCTGAACTGGAGACTGCTGTCCAGGCTGCGGGTACACCATGGAGCGGGGCCTGAGGCTGGTGGTAGGCAGGCGAGATGGGGAGCTCTGGGTCCGCAGGGGCGTCACGGTGGCGGTTGGTCGATCCTGGGCCTGAGCAGAGGGGTGGGCGGCTGCGGTAGGAGTGGAGAGACAGTGGGTAGACAGTCTACAGCTTGCTGTGCACCCAGCACCCCTCCTCTCAGTGTGGCCTCTCCTTCTGGGCCTGGTCACCAGCACAGATCCTCCAGCTCAGGAGGAAAAACAGGCTGGGAAACTGAAGATGCACTCTCACCTCTTCAAAGCCCAGCCTTGCTCCAACTCAGAACAACTCTTCCTTGCGGGAGCTAAGTTTCCCAGGCTGCTGAGCAAGAGCTCGTTCCCTGTTTCTGTGATGCACTCTGGATTAGCATGTTTCCATTCCTATAGCAAAGCATCCGGGGTTGGGCTCAGTGAGCCCACAGGCCTGGAGGCTTAAGGGGCCAGAACCTGTGTGAGCTCAGGTATCGGGAAGTTATAGCAGATCCATCTCAGGGGAGGACCCACTATGGTGGAGGATCCATCATGGGGAGGATCACAAGGGAAGATCTGTCAAGGTGGGGGATCCATCACAGGGGAGGATCCATCACAAGGGAAGATCCATCAGGGTGGAGGATGCACCATGGTGGGGGATCCATCACACTGGAGGATCCATTACAGGAAAGGATCCATCAGAGTGGAAGATATATTAAGGGGGAGGATCTATCATGAGGAAGGCGCCATTGGGGGAGGATCCATCACAGGGAAGGATCCATCACAGCGGAGGATTCATCATGGAGGGAGGATCCATCACAGGGGAAGATCCATCATGGAGGAGGGTCCATCACAGAGGAGGATCGATCATGGAGAAGTGTCCATCACAGTGGTGAGTGTGTGCAAGGGGGGGAGTGCCCATGGTGAGAAGGAGCCCAGAGTGGGAGCAAGGGCCAGGCTTGCTCTTTTCATAATGAGCCTCTCTCAAGAACTCCCTCAGGATCCCATGTGAACCAACTTAATCCCTTCCCTGGGCAGCACCCTATGACTAGTGACCCCCCACCTGGCCCCACCGCTTAAAGGACCCACCAACATCACACACATGTGGGCCCTCAGGGGACAAATCATGCCTGCACTACAGCATCTTCTAACTGGTTTTCTGTGCTGTGACAAACCGATGCATTCCCAAGATTTTTAAAAAGATCTTGGTTAAAAGTAAACCCTGGGAAAGCATCTTGGAGAAGCCTTGAGATGGCCCTGGGTAATGGAGCAGCACAGCACACTAGCTGGTCCTGGTTCATAGCTAGGCTCTGGTTAATCCTGACCCTTGGTTTCCATAGGGGGCTCAGGACCTGGCTTAGCCAGGGACAAGAGTATGAGAGTTTGGCTGGTGACAGCCATGGGAGGATTAAGGGTGTGTGATAACTACATTAGTTCATTGATTGGTTTCACATAGTTCTGGGTGTGGATAGTGGGAAGGCCCACCCTGGGTGTGGTGAAACCAACCAATAGGCTTGTAGCCTGAATGGAATAAAAGGTGAAAAGAAGGAAGACAGGTTTGCTGCTTGCTGCTTTCTGCCTGGCCTGCCATGCACAGTTTCTCCTCTGCCAGGCCCCTCTGCCATGCCATCCTGCCTTGGAGCCAGCTCACAAAGACAGAAACCTCTACAAACTATGAGCTAAAATAAATCTTTCCTCTTTTAATAAGAAAGTAACTAAAACTCATGTAACCAGATGTTACACTGTGCTGTTCAGGGAATGATGACAAGAAAAGCATCTGTACCCATTCAGCACAGATGCAATTATTGCTCAAATATTTTGGATCCATGATTGACTGAAGCCACAGATGTGGAACCCATAGATAGGGACAGCCAACCATACACAGAAATACAACTGATTTTTTGTCTTCATCCTTGCTAAATTTTTTTTAGCTCTAGGTGTGTGTGTGTGTGTGTGTGTGTGTGTGTGCATGCACTTTCCTTAGAATTTTCTATATATAAGATCATTCTGTTTGCAACTAAAAACAGTTTTTCTTCTTCCTTTCCAATCTGCATACCTTCCTTTCCTCACCCAGCCTGGCTAGAACTTCAGTATTGAGCAGAAGTGAGGACAGAAAACATCCTCTCCCATTCTTGAGCTCAGGGGAAAAACTGTAGTCTGTTGCCATTAAGTATGATATTATCTGTGAATTTTCACAGAGCTCTTTATAAGAATGAAGTTCATTTTTATTCATTTTTCTGAGTTTCTTAAATCAGGAAGAGTTACTGATGTCTGCACTACTGAAACAGTCATATTATTTTTTTAGTTTGTTAATGAATCAAATTACATTGATTGTCAAATGTTAATCCAAACTTGCTTTCCTGGAATAAGCCCTACTTGGTGTATCATCCTTTTTATTTATTTATTTATTTATTTTTCTACTATTTCTTTTATTGCCATTGTACAGTTTTTCTTAAATGTCTTATTTCTATGACTTGTTAATCATTTTTAATATTCTCCCCTTCTTGATCCCTAGGCCCACACTACTCTCACAACCTCTCCCAAATCAAAGATTAGCCAGACAGAAAAATGTATGGCTCTATTAAGGAAAGTATATAGGTTAAAAAGTATTAAATGTGTTCAGATCTACTTTTCATGCTATTTAACATATCCACATATACAAAAAAGGAAATGGAGAAAGATAATGAATTGCTGCCTAATAATACATCACTTTAAGCCAACAATACACACTCAGCCTGAATTCTAAATACTGTTTTGGATTTACAAAATAACTTTGTAGAGTTATAAAATAAGTATCCTTCACACTTGAGAAATGTCTCAACATTTAAACAATGCTGCTGTAATATATTTTCTTTCATGAAATTAAAAAAAATCAACAATGGTGAATAGAAAGTATCATTATTTTATGAGTAAGAAGACTGAGAGTACATATACAAACTCAATGATAAAGTTATGTTTACAGCTCATTTCCTCTCTTGAATTGCAGAATTTCAAGAGTATATAATAACTACTGTTAGTGCAACACATGAGAAATTTAGCAAAGATACAATAACAAAAACCCTGTACAAGTACCCAAACTTCAGTTAAGACAATAGAAAAATAAAGAATTTTTCCTTCCAAAAAACGTATCTAAAGACAATGGTTCAGGTACCCCATGTATATTAGTCACATGTCATGTGAATCAAGCTTTTCTGTATTCCTTAAATAAAATTTTATAATCAATTGATGAAAAATCAAGTTTCATATTCAAAAACACTTTCAGAATGCATCTATAATTAACTTACAGTAGTCCTTCTTTAGTTTTTATTTCAGTGGTGTCCAAAATGCTAAATGGAAAACTCTAGGAAGAAATAATTCCTAGGTTTAAGTTGTATGTCATTCTGAGTAGTGCAAAGAAATCTTATACTGTTCAGCTCAAAACATAAATCACACCTTTGTCCATGGTATCCACACTGGTATTTAAGTAGCTGTCTCAGTTATTGGAGTGGTCTTCAAGGAACTACAGGGTTCAGTACTATCTTCAGTTTCAGATATTCACTGTGGGTCATGGAATATATCCCTGGTAGATATGGAGCAACTACTTTATTATTTTAAAAAGGCCTACTTTCAAAAGTTATTGCACTGAAGTCTTTAAGTATAGCACATTTTGTTATTTTTGTTGCATCTTCTTATGCATTTCTTCAAGAGCTGCTTCTTTCTCTCTCAACACCTGTTTAAGTCTTATTTTTTCATCTCGAATGGTTTCTTCCAGTTCTGGTGGTGTCACTGGGAAAATATCTTCAGAATAACTTTTATTAAAGGAATGACTTTGGTCAAAAATTACATTTGAGTTCAGTGCACCTTTCTGCTGCTTCTCTTGGGAACAGTGTTTTATATCGGTTCTCTTTTCTTCTCTGGTTTTGCTGTGGCTTAGGAGAATGTTATGTTGTGGTATATCTGAAGTTGGCAAAATACTAAGGAGTTCAGAAGTGGTGACATTTGTTTCCCCATTAGTGACTGTGTTAAAAGCACTCTCAGTTTTTCTCTTCTTTGTGTGATCCATTTTCTTAATGGTTTTTGCTTTTCTTTTCTTACCAAAATTCTGTTTTGTTTTCTTCTTCCTTCACCACAAACACTGTCTCTTTGCATGTACCACTCTTCACCAAACTGCTAAAGTAATCAAAACCTTTTCCAGAGCGCAAATGGTCAGGAATCCAAGTAAGCCAGACTCTCAAATCTTTAGTGAGACCAAATATCTTTTTAAATTCAGCATCACTCTTCATATATGATGCCTTATTAATGCTTTCTTGAGAGTCTTTCTCCTACTTGCTTCCTTGAGTACAGTTTTCTAATGTTGATGCCATCTCATTCTGAATCAACGCGAGGCGTTGCCTGACTTCCTCAGCGGGTTTCGGGAAGACGCTCTGCAGGTTATTGGACATTTTAGAGGGATGGGGGACAGTACATCTAGGACCGTGGGGAGTATATCGCCGGGGTTCTCATACGGGAGAGAACCAAAGGGAGAGAATATTGGGCTGCAGTTGCCAGCGACTATGGAGACCGCCGGAGAGCGCCCGAGAGCGCCGGAGAGCGCCGGCTGGCTTTTGTGAATTGCGTATCCCCAGCCTCTCCTTTTTATTTATTGTCATATTTGATTTGCTAAAATTTTGTTTAGAATTCTTATTTCTGTTTATGAGGCATATTTATCCACGGTTTATTTTCTTAAGATGTTTACTATTAGCATTAAGGTAATGCTGGATATATAGAAAAAGACAGTATTCCCCCTTTTCAATTTTCTAAGCATTTCCATAGAATTGTTATACTTTCTTCCCTAATTATCATACATTAATCATCAATGAAGTCATCTGAGACTGGAATATTCTTTGTGGAACCTTTTACAATAAATTTCTTTAATGGAAATAATTCAGATTATTTATTTTTTCTTGGGTAGGTCTGATAATTTGTGTCCTTCAGGAAATACTTTAATACATCCATTTCATCTAATTTGTTGAATTTACTTGCATGAACACTTTAAGTAACCTCTTGTTTTCCTGTAGAATGTGAAGCAATGTCACCTGTTATTTCTGATAGTAATAATTTGTGTATCGTCCACTTGTTTTATCTGTCTGTTAGAGATTCATCA